TTTCTTTCACCCTTTAATCGGCCGATCCGCACAATCGGTCGATGATCGGATGACGTGGAGTCGACGTAGCCACCCGTAGTGACCTCCTCGTCCTCCGCGACCTCATCCTCTCGACATGAATTCTCCGGCCGAGAGGCGGAAGAGGGGATCCCCAGGCGCGTGATGACGAGGCGCGATCTCTGCTGGCTCCCACGCCCCCAACGCCCCGCTCGTTAGTCGGAGTCAGCAGCGCGGTCGTCATCGACGTGTCATTCGGCACCGAGAGAGCCCCGATTACCGCGGGATAACATCCCGGAACGATGAAGGACACGAAGAGACATGGGGCCAGGAAGAGCTCCAGCATCTATCCACCCGTTCCAACATCGACGATCTGACGCAGCACGCGCGCGGTTCTCGTCGAATCGATGCGCCAGCAAATTGTCACGCTCGCGGGAAACATCGCGAGCAGAAATTACCGATCGATGCGCGGATAGAGACGAGAAGAAACTGGTCCTCGTGACTTCTCGTGACAAGCGGTAACGTCCGCGAAATGTTTATAAAGTCGAATCGATCGTGGCACGCATGAAATTTTGCGTGATGTAGGAACGACGCTTGTATCTTGATTACATTGGAAGAAATGTACGCGGCTCGCGTTATGTTCATTTTATATTTCGTATATAGAGAAATGGATATTGCACATTTCGGCGATCTATTTCGTAAATTACTGCGAATAGAGGTCAGGATGCATTCTACGTTATATTGATGTATTATTCAATCTAGTAGCGTAATTGAATAATTCCGAAGATGGCCCCGGGAGCATCAGGACGGCCATCAATTCGGGAAATGGTCCCGCATCTAATACAGACATTTAATCCATCGTCTATTTGTACTGATTTGAATTCGGGCTACGAACGATCTCATTGTCTCGAGAATTGTCTTAGGGAGCAGTTTGCTCCTCAGGAAGACTACGGTTATTTCAGCTACGCCGGTGTTACTATCAGGGTAGCGGGCCGTGGATGAGGTTAGCGCACCGCGGAAAGGGGTCGTCTAGAGGCAATCGGGCTAAACTACGGACTCATTTACACACTTAGCTCCGCTTCCGCCTGGCTCGTTCCTACCCCAGTCCTCGGGAGAACCTAAATGGTTTTCATATTGTCTTTTTACCGCTCATTTTCATTTTATCGCTTGTTTGGCCACCGAGTCGTGCCGTCGGTCCTTGCAGCACGGCGCGTTTACATTCTCTCATCGCTTCTGCCTTCCTTTGTCGTCTCGTTCGTGTCTCGTGGACTTGTACACGGTGAAGGGATGAAATCGAGCAGATTGCTTCTATCGTCGACGCCATTGATGATACATCGCTCTGTAATTTTATATATAAATATAAATCTTTTTAATTAATACGTATTATTTACTAGAATATGAAAAATAATAAAGCGATATAGAGAAGGAGGGAGGGTTCGCATATGAAAGTTACAGCACAGTTTAATGGAGAGCGTCTAGGAGAAATGGCGGAAAGTATGTTATCTTATGCAGTATTCCGCAGGCAATATCTTTCTGAAGTCAAACGTGTGCGTCGTCACGAGCATAACGCAGCCTGGGAGGGAACGGGAAACCCTCGGTGGAAAAGCATCGGTGGCACAGGGTCGGGGGTGGCCCGGAACGGACCGCCACGAGCACTTAAGACTATTGTTTTCAATGTAATTGGATAGCTCCTGCTTTCCATCTCTCTTCCTCACAGACGCTACTTCCTCCTTCGCTTCCAGCAACTATCTCGAATCGCGCGGAGGGTGGAAAGCAGTCAGCCAGCCAGCCAGCCAGCCAGGCAGTCCCCACGTAGCTTCGACAATTATCTTGATTGTTTTATGCATACACCAACGAACCCATGAGCAACTTATCTCCGAAGCAGGCGAGTCGTAAAGGGAAACTGCGGTATCGCTTCACCGAATATTGCATATTTCCATAATTCATATATCATCGATCGACGTTTCGATGAGTGAAAGACAGGCGATCGTTATTACGTACGTTTATCGCGGAAAACTTAATAACTTTTACTTGATAAATTTATGTTATTAAAATCATATCTTCGCGTATCTTTTTTTAGCAGAAAAAAATAAAGCGTGTACCGTTTATATCGTTTAGACACGTGAGATACACGTTGATAGAAATCCTCATGGAATACCAGCAACTTTCCATCAGTCATCTCGTTATATGTAAAGGGAAATTAACCGATAGACGATTCGAATCTCGATAATCGAATGAAGCCCGTATACCTTGCCAGTCGGCCTGTCGCCGATATTCACTCGAGGCTCGTCGCACGTACGCGTACGTACGTCGATCGCGTCGTCGAATCTGCAATTTAACGCGTATCGATCGTACTCTCGTGGGGCCCCGCGTCGCGCGCGATCGTCTCAATCCTCCTCCTCCTCCTCTCGACGCGGCTTTATACGCGGCGTTAGATATCCGCGGAGATCCGATGGAAACTCTACGCCCAGACAATGCGCTCGGCCGATTTAATTAGGATAAGAATCGCTCGGATCGGATATACACCGGCACACAATGGAGTTTACCGAGCGGGGGTGAGGGGGAGGAAAGGAGAGCCGGGAGTGGGGGACGGAGCCACGCTTCTGATGTATGTATACCGTGGCTCGCCTCCAAGAAACATGATACAGCGTCGGTCGAGGAGCGAGTAGGGGAACGCGGGTTCAGGGAATAGATCTGCGGTTTCCAAAAATACCACAGGCTTCGACAAAAAGTAACGATCGGGGACGCGAAAGAGAGGAAGGGAGGGTGGGAGAAGGAGACATAATACCGCGGAGGCCACGTGCTAATTATGTAAAAATATGATGCGGCCCGCTTGCGGTGCAGCCGCAGGCTTTTATGCGCAGCCGGATTCTTTCGTGCCGATCGATATTTTGGCACGGATATCGAGCACGGTTAATTTTATATCGAAGGTAATGTGCGTGCGTACATGTCACGGGATTCGTAATTGATGCGCTTATGAGGTGTCTCTTAAGAGCGTACCTTACAAGCCGAATATAGAACACGGAAACAACATGTGCTGAAATGATTCTTTCATGCAAATCGAACAGTTTGATGTGGTTTTTTTTTTATACATCGAGGAAATTAAGCGACGTAGCCATCGCGTGTCGTGGATAGTCAGCGGATAGACGGAGGGAATGTCCCCGCTGGGAACGTAACTGTCGGCGGACTATTTACTTGTGACGATTACGTGCGTCTAATTTCATAATTGCGGTTAATGCGAGATTAAAATTGAGATGTGGCTGCGTCGGCTAAATTAATACGTCTCGCTAGGTGTAATGTAATTGAGCGCCGGTAGCGATATTCCGTGCATCGCGTGTATAATTTTTTCAATGCTATTCCGCAAACGTGTATCGTTCAACCGCGAAAAAGATTGCATCCATTCAAGTAGAAAAAGAGTATCTGATTTATCAATTCTTTATTTTTCTATAATATTTGTCTCAATAATAATTGAAAATATCCTTTCGATCAGTCGCATCGATCGTTAATAATTATTTGAATTATAATCCGCGAATTAATCACCATAAATTTTGATAAAAGTTAGTTGATGCGCTTGATATTATGCTACGCATTCAAAAGGGAGCACTTGAACTTTGCGAAGGTTAATGTTATACGCATATAAAGATATACCGGGCTTGACGTAGCATGCAGGTGCGCAACGCGTCGCACGCGTGTCATACATCTCTTAGAAACTTGGCGCACGTTTGACTGCATAATAACATCAGAAAGATTCGGTTCTTGTTGGGAGCGCGATATTAATGCGCGCAGTAACTTCTCCGGATGAGCGGCTAGAATGCTGCATGAATTTATACGCCTGCGTGGCAAGATCGATGGAATATATATCCGAGCGTATAATTTATCTATCCGAATTTCATTTAGGACAGGAGAAGATAATCAACTTGAAATATTTTTTATTATGTATATATATAAATATAAATATTTATATGTAAAGATAAAAAAATTATTATTTTATTCATTATTTACATAAATAAAAAATTTATTTTTACATAGTTATTATTGAGTTTTATTAATATTTTGCTAAACTTTTTCTCTAACTAGGCAAGAGTTTATTTTTTTTAATTAGCTTTTTAATTGTTATTATTTGCACAAATTTTTTATTTTTTTCCTATTATAGTAATTTACTTTTCAATAATGAAACGTAATTCTTTATTTTTCTAAAAGAAATTCAATAAAATTTTGTTGGCAAAAATGGCCAAGATGTCAACGTATTATTTGAAATTGAGTGAAAGTCGAATGACTTTTCTTGCTCGTCGATTTTTTTTGATTATATCAGTATTATTCTCACATTTTTTTCGCTCTATACAGTAAAGTTCTCCCCGTTTCAGCAGAGGAAATACGAACAGAGCCCTGGCGCATTGTCGTTTCGGGCATCGTAGCACGAGCGCATCTGCGCCGATGTAACCGCGCGATAAAATGCGGTCGTCCAAGCGCGCGATACATAGCGGAAACTTTTTGCCGCGCCGCTGTCTCTTCCACCAATCTCTCCTCTTCCTTCTCCTTCTGTGTCTCTGCTTTTTTATTGTTGTTGTTGACCAGCAATAAATAATATTTCGCAGGTGCATCCAGACGACGCGATGCCCGTAATACGGGGATCGTCGCGCAGATAAAAGTCCGCGCGCGGCGCACTATGTGTTATTCTATGTACTTACCTTGGTACGCGATAAATCATTCGATAAATTGTCTGAAAGCCCGCGTTCGTCGACGAGACGCGAAGCTGATGGTGGTGGAGTGAGACAGAGAGGAGGAATTTTTTTTTCTATCCGCGCATTTTACGTCCGCTAATTGTTGCGCTCAACGTAACTGCTCTGTCAGGGTTAGTATTTAATAATTGCGATGTCTCGTCGGCATGCAGTTTCGCGCTAATTGACGCCTGAGTTCTTGGCTCGCATCGTTACTTAAGTACGCGAGATAGTTCATGCTCAATTTCATCGTTAATGGAGCGGATTTACTCTTTTTGCTTGCAGCATCCATATCCCTCGGAAGACCAGAAAAAACAGTTGGCACAGGACACGGGGTTGACGATTCTTCAGGTCAACAACTGGTGAGTAAATCATTTCTTATGCAACACTTTATATGCATTTACCGTGCAATTTTATCTGCGTGAATAAAATATAAAAATGTAATATTGCATTTTCCAACATTTCTGTCAAAATATTAATCCGATAATTTTACAAAAAGATCGCATCAAAAAATCTTTCAATTTTCAATTCAAATGGAAAACGAGCATTTGATTTATCAATTCTTGATTTTTCGGCTATGCGATGCGAAAATATTTTTTAAATTAATCTCGCATTGATCGTTTGAATTATATCCGCAAATTAATCATCAGAAATTTCGATAAAAGTCAGTTGATACGTCCATCGATATTATGCTACACATTCAAAAGGAAGCATTTGACTTTTACGAATAATGTTCTACACGTATAAAAAGATACCGGGTTTGACGTAGCATGCATCTTGCCGTTAGCTTGCTTTATCTCCAATATTATCTCCGACTGAAAAGATTCGATAAATCTGAAATACACCGCGGGATAAAACAAATTGTGTTGAAAGCTATAAAGCACGTATATTTCATTCTAAACATTTGTCATCGCGGGAACGGCGATAATCGGGGAATTTTATAGGGCGTGCTCAGACTTTTTCGCGTGCTCGTGAGTGTAAACAAATTTATCTCCCGGTCGTGATCGAGTCTTCCTGAACGATAACGATTGAAAGCTCGCTGCGTGCGTGCCAAGCGAGAGAAACTTTTTCTAGACCGGCGGGCATGAGAGCGCGGCGGACGGGTGTCGAATCATATGGCACGTCGCACGTGTCATATGCGAATTCCAGACACCCTGAAATTACGCCCGTACATCAAACCGAACGAGGCGTGCACGACCGGAACCCCGGTACCGGCGATCGCACGTTGACGTTGCAACGAGCTGATTATTTCAGCGCGCCAATCACGCGAATACAAACGTCGTAGTAAGCATACGTGTGTCAGCGAGTCCGAACGAGAGACGAGCCGAGCGAACGTGCTGAATTTTGAAATTTATCGTATAATTTGTGTTTTTTTTATCCTCTCTTTCTATCTCGCAAAGAAGCATAAATTGAACCGACAGCGGTTTTCTGGCTTCGATTCTAATTCGTTCTGATATCGTGCGTCATCGACACTCGCAGTTTTGCTCGTTGCATCGCAGCAATTGCGTAATGTCGATGAACGAGTTTTGTATTTGTGAAAATTGCCATCTCGATTTAGAAAGGAAGAATTCTACAGAGAATCATGAGAGTAGTACTAGTTATTTTTGTTTCCCGTCTTATTAAAAGAGCGATATAACTAATGATGACCGCTTTTTATAAGTAAAAGATAGAACGGTTTTCTTATTTTCCGTCGTATTTGTTGCGAAAATGATTAGAAAATAATCGGTAATACTGGTCATTAGAGAAATGCAGGTAACTAAAAAGTAGAGATTGAATCATCCGAGCGAGCAACAGTTTCATAACGTAAGATTGAGAAATAGACGAGCAAAACGTATCTATAAAAAGATGTAAATCGCCATTTGCTCTTAGATTCAAGTGAGTTATAAAATACCGTCATTAAAGAGCGGGATCTGTGTTAAAATTCCACCTTACATTACAAGCCACTGTAACATCACCGCGAAGAGATCATTTCGTTCTCCGATAAAGCGAAATTTATTCCGGATCGTTACGACTAATCGAAAACATTTCGCATCGGCTACATCATCATCGATCGGAAATATCGGGTTACGTAATTTTACATAATGCATCGCTGTAATCCGCGTACTTTCCCATGCAATTCACTCTCTCGCATCCAAGAACTGCGTCTGTCTCTCTCTTTCTCTGCGGCGTGCTTTATCGCGCTAAATACACCGACACGCTAAGGAATTTCTTTACGGTCCATAAAAATTTTAATAGATTGCCGTTGCTTCGTGTAAAAACTCGGCTAATATATCGGGTATGGCGTATGGTTTCGTTACTTTCTTTCGTTGCGTTCACGTGGCTCGTGTCCAAGCGTCGTCCATGCGAGCGCAATAATTTCCGCGAGGCCGAGTAGAGCAAGCGAAACCGAGTGTAAAGATCCGTTTACATATGTAAGCACCAATATACGTTCATTTACTCGCTTGTACTCGTTTACATTGTCCCCGACAAATTCCTTTATTAGAACAATGGATATCCCGCACATTATTCGTAATATATTTCGATGTAATCTCATGTTACCACCACTACATCAGAGCCCAATAAAGATTTGTAATTTTATCGAAGAAAATATTGTAATAAAAATTACAATGTAGTTTTTGTATAATAATTAAAATATCTTAATCGTTATATTCCAGTTTTACAATCAATATAAAAGAATATATATTTTTCAGATAATTTGTGTAAAATTTTCTTTGTGTACTTTTACTTTATAAATTTGGAAAAATAAACTAGGAAAAGTAAATTCCAATGATCAGGAATGCATTTTGTATCCTTTAATCGAATGGCTAACATATTGGTTTGCTCCGTTTTAGACATAAACATAAATAAACTAAATATAATTATATAATGTAATAGCATTACATTTAGTAATAGTAATAATATAAAAGGAAGAAAATATTGAAATGTAAAAATTTGCTCTCGAAAAACTATGCGATTTACATTCTGATTTGTATAAGTTTGCATTGCAAGAGAGATGCTTTTGCTCGGAAGAACGAGTTCATTCAATGCATGTACTCTGTACTCGCATAATACATGCATCTTAATAATGTCGAACGATGTACGAATCGTACGTAACGTAGTCACATCACGCTCTAACGTAACGTAACGTTTAAAATAATATTTCGCTCACGTTGCGCGCATCGTAGCTTTCGCGACTATAGAGGTGAAGAGCTTGTAAAACGTTTATGCGCCATTCGCTTTATGCACCTTTAATCTCGGCGCGAAGTGCCTCGTGCTGGATATTATACTAGCCGCTATTATGTAGCGAGTTTACGATTTTCGTATCTGGACCGTCAATCGCGACTGCACTCTCGACAATCTTCTCGCATTTTTCCATTTTCTCGAGAAGTCCCGTTTCTGTCTCTCCTTCGCCCTCCTAGCGTATGATTATCATACCACCAATACTCGAATCGCCCGCAATTGACCTCGGATACTGATCGCGATTCTTTCTTCTGATATTTTATCCCTAGTTTTATTTTGATCCTTGCGAAGAAACATCTTGTTGCGGTCTCGGGATTGTCATTTAACGTTCAGGCAATTCGCTAAGCAGATATGCGTTCGAGGATATTTCGCGAAGACATCCCGTCGCAGGTGTGACTGATAAGTGCGGCGCGATTACGTTAATGACTGGGGTGCATATTTACGGCCGTTAACGTAATCGCTGGGTACAGTCACGTCGCGAATCGCTCGTCATTAGCGTAGATAGTTCGCGGATATCTCGGTGAATACCGAACGAGACACGGAGCACGGGTTACGAAACGCGTCCGCATCGAATCCAACTGCGATTAAAAGCGACGATGAATCGAGAGAAACGAGACAAGCGCGAGAGAGAAAAAGAGAGATCGTCGCGAGAGATAGCCGATACTTTACGGTCTCTTTGATACGCTCGCAGTTTACGGATTCAGGAATGTAGTCCGCGGGATCTCACGTATATATCTGTAATGACGATAATTAATAAATCGCCGCTCGCGGCCATTACGCGTCGTAATAATAAATTTAAGTATGCATTTCTACTTATAAGGAGGAATTTCGCCGACAATGTCGCAGTCTTGTCTCGTTCTTTTACATCGTGTCGCTTACGCAACGACGTTTGAGTTAATTATTCTGAAGGCAGAAATCTCGTCGATTCGCTTACCGTCTGTTATGAGATTTTTATTTTTTTTTCTGAATCGTTACTAGATGGCTTAACATAGATCGCTTGTCGATAATTTCTAAGCAGTACCGTGATATTTCCGACGTTTATTATAAAAGTGTATTTCAATTTTATGTTTATTTTTGATTTTTTATTTAACAGACAGGAAGAAATGTATAGACTCTTGCACGAGACATAATGTATTTCTAGCTTTAATAATTTTTTTATTTTTATTCTTTTCCATAATCCATTTTTCAAATAAACTTGCAGAGTAATCGCGTATGATATAAGCATATCATGTCCGCTAAATTTATAATTCACTAATAGTTAGAAAAATTGAATCGTTTTGTATGCACATCGTAGCGGACGAAGTATATCACAAAGTTACATTTTATATCTCCAGAATTATCGAATTTCTAGAATACTTTTTGCGATGACAATCGTTTTTCGATAAAGTTCCAAGACAAGCGCGCGATATTTTTAGAGCTCGTAAATTATTAGACAGCCAACCGCACTTACTTCGCGGAGAGGTATTCTCGAAGACACGATCGTCGTCGCGGCCGTTAATTCCCTACGATCCGGTATTAGCTGGAAAGGGTTAAGACGACGTAGAGAGCCGTCCCGTGAAAGCTTAGTCCTTCTCCGTCCCGTGGAAATCCCCCGTTTCTTCGAGTTGATCCATCCAGCCCTGTCTCCTTCCGCCCTTTCCATCTACGGGGAACGGGCTGTGTCTCACGCCCCCAATCTCGCTATCTTGATAGATGTTTCCGCGTGGCACCTGCGTCGGCATCCGAATTACATCGGGCCCTGTTTACCGTGATATTTAAGCGACGTAGTCGCGTCGCAATCCGGTCCCTGCAAGCCCCTCCTCCTCTCGTCGTGGATGAAATCGTGTCGCGCCGCGGTAATCTCTTCGGCTAACTTTAGCGGGAGCGAAGATCGAAATAATCCAGGTTACCCGTCGTTTTCCACGGGGATGAATCGGACGTGTCTGCATACGCGACACGCCGGGGAGACCGAAACAACGCGCGAAAAAAGGTGGGACAGAATCGCGCGCCGGATATAAAAGGCGAAACGAATCGCGCATCGGGGATGCATCGTCGACGGAGTATATATGTCCTCCTCGCTTTCTCCGCTTCCTTCTCTCGCTTTCTTTTCCGCTTATTTTTTCTCCCTTATGCCGCGACGTTGCGGCCGGTTTGCGGCGCGTAT